GAGGCAGGCGAGCCCAGAGGAGCATCCCGTGCGAGGGTCTGCCTTTTTCTCCCACCCACCCTGTCCGGTTTGCCTCCCTTCAAAATGACCACTTGACCTTTCCCAGAAGAGCCATTAACCTTCTCGAGGCGACAGCGTAAACAGCTTAATTTTCTGACGGGCAGCATGACAGAAGAAATTACAAAGCCAATTCCCACTCTCAGGTCCAAACAGATGCCAAATGTAAATCACTCCCTTCCAGGAGGAGCGCCCTGTCCCCTCCCCACCCTCCGTGCTCGGACCAGGCAACCTCGCCGCTGGGCTGCCCGCTCCTTCTCCCGACTGTAAGCACCGGCTCAGAGCCCTTGCCAGCTTAGCTTGTTGCTGTATTGCTAGGTACCTTCAAGTTGGTTCCGACTCATAGCGGCCCTATCAATAGGAAAACCCTGCTTGGCCCTGCGGCCTCCTCACTGTCCATCCGTGCTGGGCCACTGCTGCAGGCACCGGGTGCCCTTCTCTCGTAGCCTGCTCTGGTCTGGAAGATCTGCTGAAACCTGTTTACCTTGGGTGACCCTGCTAGATGGACAGAGGTCCCGGGGCCAGAGCCACATGCAAACCTCCACAGTACATCAAACTGACAGGCAAGGAGGCCTGGCCAGCTGGAGACCCCTAGACGACACGAGGGAAACACGGAGGTCCGGAGAAGAGGAGCAGGCAGGCGAGGGGGGAAGGGGAGGACAGGTAGGGAGACTCTTTTTTTCCTTTCCCTTTAAAAAAATTTTTAGAAGATTAAGATACTATCCCTGGATGCTGATTGGTCAAGCTTCCTTTGGCCCCAAGGCTAGGAGAGCCCAGGGAGTCTTTGCAGACTGGGACCCCTGGGAGAGCCCAGAGGCCGGGCGGTGCTGGTCTTAGTTTAGCACAAAGAAGGAGAGGGTGCACTGCACCTGGGGGCAGGTGCCGCTCAGCTTTGGAGAGCTTGTGGTTTGAGTGCAGGTTTTATAGCACAAGGTGTTGAGGAATTGTGCCAGAGGGCAGCTACCCAGTGGGGACCAAGCTGGGAGCGTGCGGTCCCCAGGTCTGGATGGATGAATGTGACCACATGTGGGTCTGAGGGCGCGTGCGCGCGCCCTGCCCATGTGTCTGAGGGTGGGGGTGTGTGTGGCTGATGGCGTGCGCCGTCCCCTGCTCCAGGTGGGGAGCTAGGGCGCGTGAAGGGGCAGCTTTGAGGTTTACATTTTGTCTGGGCTTTGGCCACGTGGCCACACAGTCTGTTCCTTTAAAGAAAACAGTGTTGGTTATTCTTCTTAACATCCTTTCTCACCACCAATATAAAACACGTGTTCCCCGAGGGAAAGAAAACGAGAAGACAGCAAAAGGAAGGAAATGGCAGTGGTTTTCAGTCCTGCCGCCGACACGCTGTGTGTCCGGCCAAGCCTTGTCCCAGGCAAGTGCCTGTTGACAGATGTGTGTGCTCCCGAGGAGCCCTGGTGGCACCGTGCTGACTCATCGGGCTGCTAACCACAAGGTCAGCAGTTGGAAACCACCAGCCGCTCCGCCCGAGAAAGACGGGGATGTCTAGTCTCGTAAATAGTCACAGCCTTGGAAATCCACAGGAGCAGCCCGGCCCTGTGCTGTGTCGTCTCTGCGCCGGCATCGGCTTGGGGGATTTGGTGCTCTAGGGGGTGGAGGTTGGGTTCAAACGGATAACGTGCTGGGCAGCTGACTGCCAACGGGGAGGTTTAGGTCCACCCAGTGGACCCACCCTGGCAAGTTGCATTAGAAAAACCAGCCCCTGAACGCCCAGGGGCGCACAGACCTGCCCTGTCCTGCATGGGGGGGCCTGGAGCTGAGCGGAGTTACTAGATTTCGGGTCTGGAAGAGAGTCCCCCTGGGGCACAGTCCTGGCTTACCTCTGGTCCCCCACCTCTTCCTCTGGGCTTCCTGGAGTGCTAATCTCATCCTGGGTGGGAAATCCAACCACATGCAAACTGTCTCCGGCGCTGTCGTGTCTTGTAAGGTGACCAGATTTTAACATTGGTAAAGCGGGACACCATTGATAAAACTCATATCCTGGCAAAATAGCCACATGGCAGCCGAAAACCGTATACCCTAGCTTGTCATGCATTCTTTCCCAAAATTGGGACTTTTTAAAAACGCCGCAGGACGTGGGAAAAATTGTTAAAAATCAGGACTGTCCCACCAAGAGCGGAACATCTGGTGACCTTACTTTAGAAGAACTGCAGCATTTCCCCTCTTGAACTGAGCTGGGCTCGTTATTTTAATGGAGGGAGGACTGGCCTTTGTTTGGGATTGGGGGAAATAACAAGGCCTCTGGAGGTGGGCTGGTTGCTGAGCATGTTTGCTGAG